AAACACTCAACCCAGGAGTTCCAAACATTCAAGACTTTAGGGATTGTATCTAGAATTGTGGCTTCCACTTTTGCATGTATCATGGCTTGTGTTATTCTGGTTTCAACAGCAGTAATGTTTAGAGAGGGGGATTTCCAGGATTTTGCAATGACCTGCTTGGCTGCCATAGTGACTTGCAGGAGGAGTTTGAATTGCGAATTGGTTATTCCAGGAGGGTGTAGGTTGAGTAGAGCTGTTGTCGGATTGGGTTGGAGCATGGTTACACTGAGTTTGGATATCATGTTAAAAATATCAGCCCAGAAGGTTTGAGCTACTGGGCAGTCCCACCATATGTGGTAATGTGTTCCTAGGTCTGTACAGCCTCTTAAAACAATTGGGAGAGTAATTAGGGGTGTATTTTGCGATCCTCGCTGGGACCAAATACCAACGAGTTAAGACTTTATAGTTGGTTTCTAAGGCTATAATATTCTGCGAAGATGATTTTGAGTTGGCCCAGATGTGGTCCCAATCAGAGGGATCTAATTGCCTATCTAGGTCTGTTTCCCATCTGCGGGTATACGAAGGGAGGAATGTGGTGGCTGAAGTTGTGAGAAGGGAGTATAGACATGAAATGAGGCCTCGTCTGTGAGGATCTTTGTAGCAGGCCCGTTCAAAGGGAGACATGGTGTCAGGTTGGCTAGTTATTGTTGCGTAGGGGGCGTAGAAGTGCTGTAGTTGTAAGTATCTAAATATTTCGGAAGCTGGGAGGCTATATGTTTCCCTTAATGAGGCGAAGGATTTAAACTTATTCCTCTGTAGGAAATGAAGTGTACGGAGCAGGTTAGCAGAGGTCCATACTTTAAATGAGAGTGATGTTAGCCACGCTGGGGGAAAGGCTGGGTTTCAAAGATATGAAAGCAAGGGGTTATGTGATGATTGGAGGAGATAGCGAGTTTTCAGTTTGTCCCACAGTGATAGGAAGTGGGAGGTGATGGGATTAGTTATTGAGCGGCGGTCTATTAGCCTTAGCCAAAGTAAGTTGGCAGTGGAAAGGGGATCACACTCTATTGATTCAAGGGCAACCCACTGAGGAATTTCGAAGGTCGCATGGTATTTTGGCAACTGTGCTAAGTGTGCTGCTTGGTAATACTTGCTGATATCGGGGAGGCCAAGACCGCCATTGAGCTTAGAGTGATATAAGGTGGAGCGTGGTACATGAGGGCAGACAGTGCCCAAAACGTAGGATGAAATGCGACGTTGTAGTATGCGAAGGTAGTGAGAGGGTACTGGGATTGGGAGGACTCTGAATAAGTATAAAATTTTTGGGAGGATTGACATCTTTATAACTGCTATTCTGCCTAGCCGTGCGAGTGGTAGGGAGGACCATTTGGTCATAAGAGCAGTGAGGTGGGTTAGCATCGGAGTGTAGTTAGCTGCATAAAGATCTGATAAGTTGGGGGTCAATTTGATTCCCAAGAAAGGGATATGGCGTTGTGACAAGGGAAATGGCAGGATCTGTTTCAGGTGGGCCAACTCTTTAGGGGGGAGGGAGATGTTAAGTGCCATTGATTTTTGGGGATTTATTATAAGGCCAGAGAGCGAGCCAAACCTCTCGAGAAGTTGGAGTAGGGAAGGAGAGGAGGTCAAGGGAGATGTGAGAAAAAGTAAGACGTCATCCGCAAAGAGGCATAACTTGTGGTGAGTGCCACCTATCTTGAGTCCCCGGACATCGGGATTAGCTCTAATTAGAAGGGCCAAAGGTTCTATGGCTACTACTGTATTTTTTAATGACATGGAGATGCCAGAAGAAAGCAAAATGTCCATTGGAGAAGATGAATAGAGGTAGTTGACTGAACCACTAAATGCATCAGGGGACCCTACTGAACTGACACAAGCATGGTGTACTTGCAGAATAGCACTTGAGAACCTGATCCTAAAAGTATTGGTTTCTAAAGATTCTGTAACTACGTCATTACCACCGTACAGTTTAGAGAAGCGGAGTTGAGAACTTGTATTTTTGATGTGTCATTTATAAACAGCACTTCAGAAATGACACACGGGCAGACAGTGCGCCTTTGCATGACTGTAATCTGAGCTGTCATTGGACAGCTCAAATCACAGGCACAATGTACAGAGTCCATCCAAGTGACCTTGTGATCACTGTGATGACTAATTACAGCAATCACAAATGTGGACACTGTACGGTTTACATTTGGGAGCCCGTCCCTTATTCTCACAACAGAGGAAGGGGAGGAAACAGAAAATAACAAAATAATTAGTTTTCAGCAGAACAGATGCAACAACAGATTCAAGGTTAGGGATTTAAGTCATTATTGGATTTTTTTAACCATTACCCATCTCTCCTCTGAGTGTGATCTGTACATCTGATCTCCATCCTGTCTCTGACCTGTATATTAAAGCCTTAATCTCCCTTATTCTGTACATCTGCTTATTTTCCCCTATATTCATCCTCCCACTATATGTGACCTGTATATTAACCCCCTTCACCTCCCCTTCTCTCAGTGTATGACTTCTACGTTATAATGATATGCTATATCTAGTGCACCACCTCTGTACCAGCATGTTATTAAATTATGGCAAAAATTTGATTTCGTTGGGGTGTCTACTTTCTAAAAAGGAGTCATTTTGGGAGTGTTTGCGCATGTCTGGCATTTTCATTTGCAATATTTTATAACAGAAAGTAAGGGAAATCTTTGGTCTTTTTTCGTTTATATAGTGAAATATTCAAAACTCAGTAGTACAGTGTTGCATGACAGAAAATTTGTCACTCAAACTATCACAACACAATACAACAAAAATGGCCTTGTAATGAAGGAGTATTACAGGCTGGTGTTCAAAAAACTGGTAGAAAAAAAACTAGAATATACAGTATCTCACAGAACTGAGTACACCCCTCACATTTTTGTAAATATGTTATATCTTTTCATGTCACAAAACTGAAAAAATTACACTTTGCTACAATGTAAATTAGTGAGTGTACAGTTTGTATAACAGTGTAAAGTTGCTGTCCCCTCAAAATAACTCAACACAAAGCCATTAATGTCTAAACGGCTGGCAACTAAAGTGAGTACACCCCTAAGTGAAAATGTCCAAATTGGGCCCAATTTCCTCACTGGTGTTATGTGACTCGTTAGTGTTACAAGGTCTCAGGTATGAATGGGGAACAGGTGTGTTAAATTTGGTGTTATCACTATCACTCTCTCATACTGGTCACTGGAAGTTCAAAATGGCACCTCATGGCAAAGAACTCTCTGAGGATCTGAAAAAAAGAATTGTTGCTCTACATAAAGATGGCCTAGGCTATAAGAAGATTGCCAAGACCCTGAAACTGAGCTGCAGCACGGTGGCCAAGACCATACAGTGGTTTAACAGGACAGGTTCCACTCAGAACAGGCCTCGCCATGGTTGACTAAAGAAGTTGAGTGCACGTGCTCAGCATCATATCCAGAGGTTGTCTTTGGGAAATAGACGTATGAGTGCTGCCAGCATTGCTGCAGTGGTTGAAGGGTGGGGGTCAGCCTGTCAGACCATACGCCACACACTGCATCAAATTGGTCAGCATGGCTGTTGTCTCAGAAGGATGTCTCTTCTAAAGATGATGTGCAAGAAAGCCCGCAAACAGTTTGCTGAAGACAAGCAGACTAAGAATATAGATTACTGGAACCATGTCCTGTGTTCTGATGAGACCAAGATAAACTTATTTGGTTCAGATGGTGTCAAGCGTGTGTGGCGGCAACCAGGTGAGGAGTACATAGACAAGTGTGTCTTGCCTACAGTCAAGCATGGTGGTTGGAGTGTCATGGTCTGGGGCTGCATGAGTGCTTCCGGCACTGGGGAGCTACAGTTCATTGAGGGAACCATGAATGCCAACATGTACTGTCATACTGAAGCACAGCATGATCCCCTCCCTCTGGAGACTGGACCGCAGGGCTGTATTCCAACATGATAACGACCCCAAACACACCTCCAAGACGACCACTGCCTTGTTAAAGAAGCTGAGGGTAAAGGTGATGGACTGGCCAAACATGTCTCCAGACCTAAACCCTATTGAGCATCTGTGGGGCATCCTCAAACGGATGTCATCATGGAGAAGTGGAAGAGGACTCCAGTGGCAACCTGTGAAGCTCTGGTGAACTCCATGCCCAAGAGGGTTAAGGCAGTGCTGGAAAATAATGGTGGCCACACAAAATATTGACACTTTGAGCCCAATTGGGACATTTTCACTTAGGGGTGTACTCACTTTTGTTGCCAGCGGTTTAGACATTAATGGCTGTGTGTTGAGTTATTTTGAGGGGACAAAAAATTTACACTGTTATACAAACTGTACACTCACTACTCTACATTGTAGCAAAGTGTCATTTCTTCAGTATTGTCACATGAAAAGATATACAGGTAATAAAATATTTACATAAATGGGAAGGGTGTAATTCACAGAGTGTGAGATTACATCTATTATTCTTTTAAAGCAGCATAGAAAATTGTAGAAGCCTCCTGATTTGTTGCTATGGGCAACACTTTTACAATAATATTATTATTTTATTTTTTTAACCACTTTCTCTCCAGAGGATTTACCTATATTCCTGACCAGGCCATTTTTTGAGATACAGTGCTGCGTTACTTTAACTGACAACTGCGCGGTCATGCATTGCTGCACCAAAATGAAATTTTTTTCCCCACAAATAGAGCTTTCTTTCAGTGTTATTTGATTGCCTGTGTGGTTTTTATTGTTTTGCGCTATAAACAAAAAAGACCAACAATTTTGAATAAAAAAATGTATATTTGACTTTTTGCTATAAAACATATCCAGTAAAAAAAATTCTAAAAATCTAATTTTGTCATCAATTTAGGCCAAAATGTATTTTGCTACATGTCTTTGCTAAAAAAAAATCCCAATACGTGTAAATTAATTGGTTTACGCGAAAGTTATAGCGTTTACAAATGGTGGTATGTATACTGGACTTTTTTTACTTGTTTTTATTAGTAATGGCGACAATTAAGGACCTATTGTGGGACTGCAGCAGACATTCTGACACTGGGGGGAACTGACTTAGTGTCACTGACATCCCCAGTGACACCAATACAGTGATCAGTGCTAATGAAAAGCACTGACACTGTACTAATGGCACTGGGCAGGAAGGGGTTAACATCTGGGGCAATCAAAGGGTTTAGCTGTGTGCTGTTTTACTATGTGGGCTGTGTGTGCTTTATACTGTAAGCACACTGCTTTTTATGGCTCGGCTATGCAGAGCCATACAAGGCAGTGTGCAGGAGCTGACAGAGGAGAGATCTGTGTTTATACACAGGTCTCTCCCCCTGTCGGTAATACTCGGTGATCTACCCGGAAATGCAAAGTCGCGTATTTCAGCTATGGGGCGGCACGCAACCAGTTAACAAGTGCTGTATAGTAAGCAATTTCCTAGAAAATTGGATACATTTACCATTCAAGTGCTACTACTTTGTAAATGATTATACAGTATAAATACCCCAGCAATAAATAACAAGATATGTGATGCATTGTTGTTTAATTAAATTTTCATTTCATAGAGATCTTGGCACCTCTCTGTCAAATCTGCAAGTGCTTTGGTTAGCACGCTGCAGTCTCACAGACCTCGATGGCATAGCCTCCTTTTTTTCCCTTAAGGTAAATATATAATTGTTTGTTTTTCAATGATCACCAAGAAAAAATCCTGCATGTTTTCAATGATCACTGGTATATTATTGATAGATATCCAAACCGCTTCATAAAAGAAAAACAACAAAGCAGTTCCTCTAATACATTTCAGCAATAAAGGCATTCGGCTCCGTTCCTACTAGTGCGATTTCAGATGTGACTTGAGTCACACAGAATCGCATGACAATGGAAATCACATTGTTTTCAACGGTGCTCATTCTCATCAATGCAGCTCAGCATGGTGTAGATTTGGAAAGATTCCTGTACTACTTTGGTAACAGCATGGTCCCATAGAATATGCAAACCAAAACCAGGTTGCACTATATAATCTCACTGAAAATTGTAGCAAAATTGGATGGCAGTAGTGTGAACCTAACCTTAATCCTAGCTAACTGATTAGTGAACTTAGGCTACTTTCACACTGCTCTGTTGCAAAAATGCGGTAAAAATGCATATGCATTTTTGGCACATTTCCGGTGTGTTTTGTGCATGTGAAAAAAGGACATGTGAGTCAAAAAGCACCAAAAACACAACAGTGGGTGAGTTTTTGCTGTGTTTTTTGCTGCGATTTCCATAACTTCAATGGGGAGGAACGTTTTTGGTGCCTTTTTTTTTTTTTTTTTTTTGGTTTTTTTTTTTTTTTTACTGCATCAAAATGCAGCTTACAGGACTTTGAAAAATGCAACGGACCTGCAACTGACCAGTGTGAAGAGTTTCATAGGATTTGATATTAAAGGTAGAATTAAAAATTATAACAAACATGTTATACTTATCTACTCTGTGCAAAGGTTTTGCACAGAGCAACCCTGATCTACCTCTTGGTTCCCCCGCTGGCACTCCAGGCTCTTCCTCTTCTCTGAGTGCCCCTATGTCAAGCTGCTTGCTCTGGGGGCAGTCGTGCATACTTGCTCCCGAGCCCCGCTCTGGGTGTCCATACGATGGATTTCTGAAATCCCTCACACTTGCTTGGTATGAGGCATGCCTAATGTAAGGCTCTCCTCTAGATTTTCCTTTTGCAGAGCAAAATTGTATCATTTGAGGAAGCTAACTGTAAAACTATCTATGTGGTCAATGAATGCATGTATTTGCCATTAAATCAATTATGTTGCCTAAAAATGCTTTATTGTTTGGGATTATTTTAGTGTTCAGTGGGGTGCTGGTTTATTTTTGACCAGTGATTATTGTCTGACAGTATATTGTCCAATGCAGGAACTTTATCTGGCTTACAATGATCTCAGAGACCTCAGTCAAGTGAGCATGCTAGAAAATCTGGAGGTCCTTGACCTTGAAGGTAACAACATCGACCAGATAAGTGAATTGCAGTACCTAGCACTGTGCAGCAATCTAACAACCCTCACCATAGAAGCCAATCCTGTATGTGTTCGACCTAGTCCTGTTGGCACCCCGGTAAGTGTACCTGACACGAAACATTGCTAACTATTCAATGCCTGCTTAAAAATTAGTGTGATCCTTACTTATTGTTAGACTTTTCATTAAAGTGACTCTGTCATTTGGAAGGGGGGTGCCTTTGCTGGCCTGATGGAATGCTAGTTGCCTGGCTGTGTCTGACTTCTGAATCGCAGACCCAAAGAGTGTATTTTTTAAATAAGGCTCAGAAAAAAATGTCAAAAATCATTACCTCAATACTAATTTCAGGTCAACGACTCAGACAGCATTTTAGTCATAAACTTCAGCATTAGAGCCAAGTAACAAACATTCCCAAAAGAGGAGTGCAGCAATGACAGCCCTAATGATTTTTTCATGATATACACCCTTTACCCCTGGTTCACATATATGCGGCTGTGCAGGCCGTGTTTTGCATGAGATCCCATTCATTTGAATGGACTCCTGTGCCCCGTGACACGCAGGGAAGACGTCCCTGCACTTCTTTGGAAACCACAGCCTGCACGGGAACCTCGGTTCCCAGTGCAGTTGCGATTTCCAGTGCAGGTGGCGTGCCATTAGAATTAATGGCATCGGCCTGCAGGTCCGCATTCTTCTGTGTGGCTGATGTTTGTGCGGATCCACAGTGCCACCACCCGCACATATGTGAACCAAGCCTTAAAGTCTATGTCTGGGAAATACAGGCATATTTTTCCATGTTTTGCTTGTTTAAAAACACTGCATGTACATAAAAATATCTGTTCATACTGCCAGAAATTCAGTGAGCTCCTAACACTGCAGTGCTCTGACAACATCGCCTCTGCTGCATTGAAATCTCCAGCAGTTTTAACAGCTTTTTCTGAATTCCTCCCTGTTGGACTACAGAACACCTCCCTCCTTTCTTCATCTTCATAACCTAAGAGGTTCTGAAGGCCATGCAACATTTTTAAAGAGTCAAAACAACGGGTGCAAATGTGCACATATTGAAAAGATATACTGCACATATTTCCTCTTTAGTTTTGCCCAGACACATATTTTTAGTGTCAGAACAGCAGATATGGAAGATTTTTCATAGGCAGTGACTTGCTTAGTAGGGAAGCATGGATACATATGACAACTACTGAACATGCACCTTCAAATCAGCAATGACGACACCTTCCATATGTGTAGGCAGACAGGCTCCCTTTAGGTTTCCAGATTAGAAATGTAAAATAGTAATAAGGATTTTTGCTTAGCATGGCATCTATTCTTCTTGTTTTAAGTTCCATCTGTCCCCAGACAGAGCCTCTAACAAGGTTATCAACCCATGTCTGCATCTGGTGCGAGAGCCTGATCTGATTTCACCTGGAGTGAGATCATCTTCTCTGGTGATCTCATGTCTGACATGCAGAGAGCCTGAGCTACTGGTTACATTAAGTAGGGCCTTAGCTCAGATGTGCAGACTAAGCTGGAAAAATATAGAACAAGTGATGGGTAATAAATATCATTTAATGATCTGTATATCTGATATATGGTACTGTAAAAAATATGCTTCTTTTTAGAATAAAAATATGTTACATATTGATAAAGGGAATATAGTATATACTTTTAATTGTTTTTATGGTGCTGCCTGTGTGACTGTGGTCAGTTTTTAAAGTGAACCTGTGGTTTGCCCTTGCTGGACAAAACAAAACATTCACTTTAATGTCATCCCACTAGCTGCACACATTTCTCATGGCTAAACTCCCTCACTGCTCCATTTTGCGGACGAGAGTGAGGAGAGGTAGGCTACATTCACATGACCATTTAGCAGCAGATAGTTTGCTGCATTCAGAGGCTGCTAAACGGCTCCTACTGATACAGCAACACTCTGCTATGGATGCATATAAACTGGTTGATTAGCTGTGACCAGTTGGTTTGCGGCTAAAATTCTGCAAAATTCCGAACTGGGAAATACATTGGCTACATCCAAGATCTGCTGTGGGCTCTAATCACATGTAAACGCTAAGATGGGAACAGCGGTGGCGCCGGTCATTGATTGGCATTGAGTACAAATCTGACAGCTGCAGCAGTTCACAAGCAGTGTGTACAGGCAGCATTTAGAGCTTTATTGTCATCCAGCGATCATGCCAGTAGCAGTCCCAGGGTTACTGTGCTCATTCACTGTACTGTTCCTATGAAGAAGCAGCGTTGTCATCCAAGGAGAGGACAGCAGACCTACTACAAAACCCCTCCACCCTATGTTATGGAGAGGAACAGAAGAAGAGGCATTTTGTAGTCCCCAAAGATAATTGTGAACAATGCTAACTGCTTAAAGTGCAGCACAGGCAGAGAGTACAAGAAGTTATCAGCTTACAAGATTTCCAGCAGAATAAACGTATTTTTTCTGCACATTTTGAACAGCAATAACTAGACTATTTCAATGGTATGTTTAAGAGACCAAAACTGAGCAAAGAACAGAAATATATTGTGGTTTACATATACATAAACAAAGAGGTCAAATAATTTAAATGAGCATATAATACCTTTCCTGCTACACTCCACTTCCAAACTGGCAATAGCTACAGATGAACTCAATAAACATCTTGTAAACAAAGCTAATTAGGCAGCTGACAAAACTTGATTTCCTGCTATAAATTGTGGGACAAATGTAGTAATAATGATGAGAGCACTACGAAATGATGAATTATGAAGTGAACATCACTGCTGCCATTCACAACATACAACATCATTCTTTAATCAGTCCTGCTGGGCAAGATTTACTAAAACTGGAGAGTGCAAAATCTGGTGCAGCTCTGCATAGAAACCAATCAGCTTCCAGGTTTTATTGTCAAAGTTCCGTTGAACAAGCTGGAGTTAGAAACTGATTGGGTTCTATGCACAGTTACATCAGATTTGCAGTGCTCCAGATTTAGCAAACCTCCCCTACTATGTCAATACTTACAGAATTTGAATCCACAAATTCTGGAAACATTAAAGTAATTTAAATAACATAGAGTAACTTACTATTTCTCCATAGCATAAAGATGGGAGTTGTTGTTATACTTGGTGTATTCAGTTGGTAGGCTGGATTATATATTCAAAATCACTGAGTAATTTGAATTGATAGTCAAGCTTCTTCCAGGCTTGTGTTGGTTCTCATTTCAAAAACTTCAATGGCCTTTAATTCTTAAGGAGACTTGCCTGTGGCTCTAGCTCTTACAGCTGAATGTAAACACAGCAATAGGTTAACATGAACACTGCAATGATGTTTTAAAAAAAGCTTACTACATATTGACTTTAAAGGTTTTAGAGTGGAATATGTAACAAGTCCCCATTGCTGCTGCCTGCTGCCTTCTCTCCCTTTGACAGCAGTATGGGGAGAAATTCCCCTTACCAGCTGCCATGGCCGTGTCATTCATTCACAGAGTTCGTTCAATGAATGAACTACAAGTACCGACATCCATTCCGGATATCAGCTTGTAGTTCTCAATGAACTACCACAGAGCTGTTGAGCACTGTGGTAGATCATAGATTCTTCCTGTCAGTTTGAAACCACTGGTGCAATGCTTTACAGAAAATAGTAGATGTACCTTTTTTTTTACCTGCAAAGAAATGGTAATTTATTATTATTAATAATAATAATACTCCAAAAGAAATTACATTTTTTTTTTCCTTAATGAACCTAATCTTTAAAGGATAAAGTTCACCTTTTGACAAAAAATAATAAATGCACATTTTTTTGCAGGTAAAAAAATGTGCATTTATTATTTTTTGTTGCAGGAGCCTGTAAAGCACTGCACCAGCGATCAGCAGATCACTGGTGCCATGCAGGTCTCCTGCAGATCTGTAAGTATATCGGCTTGCACGTACATCCCGTATGAGCAAGCCGATACACTCTGGCAGGAAGAATCAATGAACTACCACAGCGCTCACAGCACCGTGATAGTTCATTGAGAACTACAAGCCGACAGTCATTAAGGATGTCGGGACTTGTAGCTTTCTCATTCACAGAGGACTGTAAATGAGTGTCACGTCCGATTGGGCGTTTTTAAAAAATGTTGACAGGTAGTGGGGGGAGAAGATCCTCTGCTAGCTGTCAAAGTGGCAGAGCGGGGAGGAGCAAGTGCCGGTCCTTTCATAACATGTTACATGTAACATGTTAAGAAAGGTGAACTTTAAGGTATTAGAATTACATACATTCTAGCACTGGGACAAGTATTTTAAAATGTGTTTTGTTCTGAATTTTAGCCTGCAGACTACAATTATCGGGTTGAGATTAAAAAGATAATCCCTCAAATACAATATTTAGATGATGAGCCAGCTGACCAAATAAACCCAACTACACCTCACACTCCATCAGAAGACTGGATGATGGTAAAGGATCTAATTAAGGAATGTGTTGGGAGCCAGACGGATACATCTTTGGGTAAGGGAAGTAGAAAAAGAAAGGATATAACAAATAACTGTACACATTATACTATAAATTTTCACAGGGATTTTGTCTAATTTCATCTCCCTTTAAAAATCTAACAAAGTAGCATGTATCAGCATGGCAATAATCACCACAAGACACATGTATAGTCTTGGTCCAAAAATTATATCTTGGTTTTAAATCTAGTTTGACCACCATTACTTGTTTTGTAACTTGTAAAAATGATTATATTTGGAATTGTGTCAACCCTATAATTATGAAAAGGATTGCAAAATTATTATGCAAAAACTATTTTAGCCTAGAATTGGGTTTTAAAGCGGAATTCACACTCTCAATCAACACTGACTATTTTTAATAATTAGTAAATAGATGTCCTAACTTGTCCTAAATTTTGTAAACATTTCATCAGCTGCTTGCTGGTTTCCAGGTCTAGGCAATTGATGTCATAAATCCCAGGAGTCTTAAGGAGGGGCGGAGGGTTTTCTCCGCTAAGCGCACCCTCCTGTATGCATGCCTGAGCTAAGGGCAGATGGATTCCAGGAAGTAAATGCTACATGAATGATCTGCCCTTACTCAAGATGGCTACAGACAGAAATGCTAGGGGGGGTGTTTTTCAAAGTTATTTTTCAACAAAATAAAGTGCAGATTGATGGGTGACTTTGCTTTGAATATAATTATATATACATTAAAGCGCTTTATTGGTTTTTGGTGCTCAAATGTATAGCAACCAGATTCCAGATTAATATAGTCAGATTATTGAAAAATTATTTCTGATTGGTTGCTGCAGCATGCTACATGATGATGATGCAGTTTGCTCATCATCATTGCTTTTTTCACAGAATTGCTGAATAAAATCATCATACTGAAAACTTACTGAATAAGTCTATGTATATACATTGTATAATATGACAAATAATTAACTAATGCACATTACTGAAAAATAACTTGCATGTATTATTTATAGATGGTTCACTTCAAGACTTGGGAAGTGCCCTGCGGAAGGAAAATATTAGACCCAGTACTGCCCAGCCAGGGGTTACCAGAAGACCACAGTCTGCACTAAGGCCTTCAAGTGCAGGGAGGGCAATTTCCAGCTTATATAACAGACGAGCAAGTCTTACATCTGAATCACCGGGGAATGACCCAGCAGATGATGAAGCCAGTGACCTCACACATGGTGATCTAAGCATACGTCTTGTCATAAACACTACATTTTTCTGCCTCTTGAATCTCTTTAGTCCTTTTTCTTTCCCTTTAAATAGCACGGGGACTTATGGCTTTATTTTCAAATTCTTTTTTCCAGACCAGATTAAAAATGTTGCTGCTACTTATAACCTTGGAGGCTTCTTTCAGACTTGCGGTACTGCCTACTGCCCCCTGTATCCGTGGTGGATTGCTTTTTAGAAGGAAGTATAGCAGTGGCTGGCAGGCATTCAGGTGGCATTACTGCCACTTTTTGAACACCTGTTTTTTGGGATTTTGTTAAACCTTTATTTTTAAAGTGACAAATGTGCTGCCTGCAAAATTCTACACCCTGAGTTAAAAATGCTGCGGCTGTTAAGCAGAGCATCCCGTCTGTGGCATGTGTACAACTCTGTCCAGCTGTAGTGCTACAATTCAGGTGGGTAGCCAGGAGGCAGTAAAATCATGACTCAGCTGCCTGATGTTACTGCTCCCCCAGCCTCCATCTGAAAGAGCCCAAAGTGTTGTAACATGAATCTGTTCCCATTAATGTCTGATTTGTCAAATGTAGTAACATCCTTTAAACATTGGAGTATAGATGAAAAAAATATAATACCAGGTTTCAGCCGTAGTATGGCAGATAAAGTGTGACAATGTACCTTCTGATCTCAGTAATGTAAGGAAGCTGAATGCAGAGTTCATTCATACAGGTTTCTTTCATGTATGGATCTAAGCCTACTGTATGTTGTTTTTTGTACATTTCGTTCCTTCACTGATTATGGTTTTGTCCATATTCTGCTATATTCTGTACACAACCTGCATGCTTTCATACATTGTGTTTACTATACATTAGCATGTTGGTGATTTCCTCTTCCCTTGTATGTCATCCTGCAGGCATTGGTAAAGTCATCTGTGGGAATCCAATAAAGGCTCTTCGGACAAGAAAGGAAAAATTGGGGGTAAATTTCAGCAAAGGAAATTTTGGTTAGGTAGATATTGTATATAGCATATTTAAACATAGCATAAATACACTAATATTATTTTTTATTCTGCATTTTCACCATTTCCCCCCACTAAGCTACCAGCACCTAGAGCAAATGTATTTGCAAACATTAAAAAAATATAAACAAACAATGCAGTGCTGCCCCACCCCACAAAATTAAAAAAAAATATGCTAGTGGTATGAACCAACTATACAATAATTGTATACTTTTCACAGATAGTGTTACCATTATACATAACATATATATCTTTAAAAATATAGTTTAAAGTGCAAACAAACATCTTTTTTTAAATTGTTATAATCCAAGTTTATAAAATGTACTTTATGTGACATGCATAGGGCGCCCTTCAGGAAGAAGCATTATAAGCTAGTACATGCAGCACTGAAACCAGTGAAAAGCAAGTAAAACTCAACTAACATGGAAATATACAGTATGAAAACCACAGTGACTAGCACTTCCACCTGGCAACACTAGGGTCCTTGGTTTGAATCCCAACCATGGCACCACCTGCCTGGAGTTTTCATGTTCTCCCTGTGCCTGCATGGGTTTCCTCAGGGTACTCCTCCTACTTTCCAAAGACATGCTAGTAGGTAATTGGCTCCTATCTAAATTGGCCTACTATGTGTATGTATGAATGTGTGTTAGGGATGTAAAGAGCTGCGTAGATCTTCGGCTCTTTATTAATACCTGAAATAAACACAAATAGTATGTTGTTTAGCAAAATACACACTGTCAGACCTGGTAGTTGGAGGGTACTTGGTAAGGGCCATAAAGGCTTTCCCAGTGCCTAAATAGTGACTGAATTCATAGGCATGACTGAAGATGGTCAAGCCCTTGTCTGTTTATTTTTCTGGTAGCCCTGTACACAGTATGCTTGCTTTAAGCTGCTTTGATTGACTTCTGTTGAAAGACCATGCTGGAAAACGTTTCTCAATCAGTGGCTGCTGCTAATCAGTGCTTTCTTACATCAGTGGGGAACCACTGTCAGAATACAATGTGCCAGAGGGGGGAAATCTTCCATCCAACTTATTTGTGTGGTTGGAGGAATCCTTCTTTTTTTTTTTTTTTTTTTTTTTTTTTTCATTTAGCCACTGGCTGAATGAAGAAATACTAACCATCTATGGCCAGCTTAGGAAGACTCCAGCTAATTATGTGCATGTTAAGTGTATGCAAACTGTACGGAAACTATGCTGGTTGTTTTCTATTTGGGAGCCTCATGCATAAGGGTAACTCTTCCAAAATGATAGTAGCAACCTTGTTGGCTGCAAGGCCAACAAACTATCTCTTATTTCCTCAGTCTGAGATCGGGCATAGCAAGTTCTCCACCAGATTTGCCACAGACCTGTATGGCTAAAATTTAAATATCTAATTGTTGCAGAAAGGGTTTGTGCTGCATTACTATATAAACAAGTAGGTATGGCTATCAAATGATGGACACTATTCAACATTCAACATACAGTCTGATCTCAAGCAGAGTACATTTGCAGTCTTCCCATGTATGGTTGCATTAAAAGTTTTTTCCTTTTGTCCCTCTAATCAACTTTTCCTTTTCAGTTAACTCCTGTGAGCAATCTCCAGTCACAGGGACAGAAACCTGAGCCTGATGCAGTGGTGTTAACTCACAAAGATCGTGATGATGTGTTTGCAGAGTTGAAAGCCTGGAGAGAAAAGCACAATGAGTAAGAACTTCTCAGAGACCATGAGCTATGTAGAACATTCTAGAATGTAGAATTAGTGTTGCTAACAGCATATACAGTTGTGTTTAAAATAATAGCAGTGTGTTGAAAAAAGTGAATAAAGCTCAAAATCCTTCTAATAGCTTTTATTTCCATACACACAAATGCATTGGGAACACTACACATTCTATTCCAAATCAAAACATGAAGAAAAATATGTCAAATTTGTGTTGTTCCTCTAAAAAAATTAAAGAAAAGTGAATATTAGACTGTTCAAAAAAATAGCAGTGTTTGTATTCTTCTTTACAAACTCAAACATTCACTATATAAACTGAAAAATGTTTGAAGATTTTGCTTTCCTTTGAATCACTTAATTATTATTTAGTTGTATAAGCACTGTTTCTGAGAACTGCTGTACATCTGTGTTGCATGGAGTCAACCAACTTCTGGCACCTGTGAACAGATATTCCAGCCCAGGATGATTGGACTACATTCCACAGTTCTTCTCTATTTCTTGGTTTTGCCTCAGAAACTGCATTTTTGATGTCACCCCACAAGTTTTCTATTGGATTAAGATCCGGGGATTGGGCTGGCCACTCCATAACGTCAATCTTGTTGGTCTGGAACCAAGATGTTGCACGTTTACTGGTGTGTTTGGGGTCGTTGTCTTGTTGGAACACCCATTTCAAGGGCATTTCCTCTTCAGCATAAGGCAGCATGACCTCTTCAAGTATTCTAATGTATTCAAACTAATCCATGATCCCTGGTATGCGATAAATAGTCCCAACACTGTAGTATGCAAGTTGTGAGGCCACTGGTACCTTATATCAAGTGTCATCTCTGAAATGGAGTGATCTTTTTCTAGAGTCCTCAAGAAACAACAAAGAAAAAAAAAAAAATTAATGTCTGATTCAACTAGATATGTACCTGAATTTTTAAATCGCAATAGTAACGAATTTCAACAAAAAACACATCCGAATTCAAATTTGAAAATGAATTTGAATTAAAAAATGAATTTGAATTTGAAATGGAAACATATTGCTATAAATATAGTAAGGTATTAAAGTGAAATAAGATGATAATTCCTACTTAGGCTTCTATATAGAATAGAATAATAAAGAATGGAATAAATCAGAATAAAATATGGAATAAATCAGAATAAAATATAAAAGAATAGAATATAAAAATTTTATAGAAAAGAGGATAGAATAAAATAGAATAGAAAATCAAGAAACAGAATAAAATAGAAAATAATAATGTATAAAATAAAATAATAGAATAGAAAAAAATAGATTAGAATAAAATGAATATAGCCATCATCTGAAATTCGAATTTTGAATTTGAAATTCAAAACCGAATGCTAAATTGATTTGAAAAGAACGAATATAAGCAACAAATCCAAATATACTAAACACATTCCAAAACAAATCATTCTAATGAATATGACAAAACAAAATTAATAACTTAATGAGCAAATCTCAAAGGAAACACATTTTTTCTGTCATACACATCTCTAGATTCAACCCCACCATATTCACTCATTTTTGTCTCAGTGGAGGGAGATCCCTTTACTGAACTCCTCAACAAACATAAGGATTCAGGGGCTGATTCATGCCACAATGTTCCTCCATAGCTGTCTCTAGGGGGAAGGGTCTCTTTATTGAGCCCATTCACAGACATAGGAAATCAGTAGCCGATTTAAACCAGTTTACCCTGATTTGTCTTTGGTAGAGAGATTTATTTGCTGTAATCTTCAATACACAGTGTATACTGAAAAAAATACATTATATTAGCCATTTTGGAACATAGATCAGCCGGCCTATACTGTTAGCCTCTTTGGAACTCAACCAGGTTGTCGTTTCAGGTTTTCATTCTTCTGCTTTGTTAAAGAAGCAGTAGATAAAGTTGGTAGGACCCTACACTTTTTGAACTAGGGCCAAAACAACATTGTGACTCTGAATTGATGTTTTTCAGGCAGTTGAAGCGGATTCAGGATCAACGTGCTCCTCAGGTTCTTGTTATAACACATAGTGATGAAGAGGAAGAGGACAGTTTGTCTTCTAGCAGTGAAGATGTAGAACTAGAAGACTCCTGGGACTCACAATGTCCAATAAGAGTCACTCCAGATACCTCAAGTCCATCACCTCGGTCACCTGCAAGTGAGAAATATTGCAAATTGCTATTG